TATACAACATTAATATAATTCAATTCAATTAGGGTTATCTTATTTAATTTTACAAAAATAACGCTTTTATCAATACTGTAAAGACCGTAAGTTGTAAAATTACAAGGCTGTTGTACGCATTCAAAGTTGCACTTGATGGTGCTGGAGTAGAGGTCGGTGTTTTACCCGTTGCGGGAGTATCAGTTTTACCAGTTGGAGTATCTGTCACGGGCGCTGATGTGGTAATATCCAAATCTTTTTCTCCGTTTTCCAAAGTCCATTGGTCAATTCCATAAGAATAACTATTGAACCATTCCAAATTGTATTCGACCACTTTGTATGAGTTTTCAAAAGAAGGTCGTACAGATTCTCGAAGAGTGGAATTGTTCTTAAAATTTTTTATCTAAAAATATAATTTATTATAAAATACAAATGCACGAACTAATTAATATTAATAGTACCGGATTGCAGTTTTTTATTCTCAAATGTCTACCGTCTGACCGATATCTATTTTTTCTAACAACCAACAATCTTTGAAAACCAATACTGACTCTCGATACCTCGAATGCCTAACTATAACTAGATAAAGTTGCAAGAAAGTCACAATGACACCACCGGCCTACAACTACGGACTAGTCACGACTCGTGAGTTAATTGTTTATCGTCATTTGATTCACAGATTAATACTTCACATTATATGAATAAAAATATAATTATTGATTTCRCTCATTCCTGTATTAGTACCTATGTCCATGTATCAACCTGCGTTACAATTTTATACGTATGCCTAAAGATGATAAAAAACAACAAAAATATAGATACTTATATTATTCCGATTATTTCGATATCAAGAYGAATGAAATAGAACAATAGAGCTAAAAAATGCATGATAGAGTGACATAATACTGTTATTAGACATTACTTATACAACAAAGTTTTTATTAATGATCAGACTATTTTGTTAGATTTATTTAAGACACGTTTAGRTACACAATTTAAAGATGTCCTTATAATATTTCTCGTCAATAATAATATAATATCAACAAGTTGGAAGTTCCAACTTGGAACATTGTTAATCAAACCTATAGTGTGGTGCATAAAGTTTTGGTGCTTATGTTTATTGCATAAAATTTTTTTATGATTTTCATGACTCACTTTTTCGATATCATCATCGTTTGTCATCTTGGAAGCAAGGGTTGAATATATAAACGTAATGATATCTTCACCATTAGGTAGCTGGTCTATAGTTTTGTTTATGTTGATTGACATAAATTCGTATAGCACATCGAGACCCAATGGAGTCATTGATATTGCAGATACAACGGATTTCATGTCTTTTCCTTTGATTGGTCCGTTGGGTCCATCCAGTATATGATTTATGTACCTGAAATCAAATATAATCACTCAGAATTCAATTACGTGGAGATACCTATGGGAAAATATTCATAATGTTAAATAAGCAGCAAGATCAGAAATAATTCGTATATAATTGTCATTTCTACACCTATCTATCGTTAATGTTAAAAATATATGACATTTTAGTTGAAATGACCGACTCTTCTTTGGTAGTATGGTATATTATAAACCAATAGGTATACACTGTAAATGCAGTTTATCTATATAGTACATACTACACATATATATATATATATATATATGTGTGTGTGTGTGTTTCTTTATTTGTTACCCTATACATATTCAAAAACTATTGAGACATTTTCAATAAAAGTTATATCCTTGAATCCCTATAGATTAATATAAAATGATCATTCCATTCGAATTTTGCTTTGGCTAACGAAAATTGATTATTTTTTCAAATTTTTCCTATTGATTTTAAATTAAATTACTATCATGTTTTACATGCAGTAAAACATAATTAATATTTAAGTAAATAGCACAGAAAATATTTTMACTTTCCAATATTATTCACATTATTTAGGTCAATATTTGTCAATAAACTCAAATATTGACAAATCTTGACCAGTCGGGCTTATGAAAAGTAAATTTGGCATGTAATGCGTGTACATAGACATAAATAACAAATCGACATAAAATGTCACTCGAAGTTGCTAATACAACAGAGAGCACTACATTTAGACGTAAACAGGCGGTTTCRAACATTATTTATTTGTCACTCAAAGGTAATAATATTGATGGCTTTTAACATACTCAGACAATTGCGTCCTGTTGGTAGAACATCCTAAAGCGGACTCTGCAGACGATTTTTCCGAAATTGAATTTGTGCTGTTATACAACGCTAACATGTTGTTGAAAACCGTTGGACCTTTGCTGTTCTTCACACCGATGCAAAACGCCGCATCCGTGATATCAGCAGGTATTCTGTACRGTATAATTATTTGAGTTAAATATTTTGATGATCGCGGTGCTAGTATAGTATAATTATAGTTACTAACTTCTCTCCGGCTTGCCATTTATTGAAGTATTCCTGTGCTTTCTTCATACAGTATTTGTTCTCCAACCTACACGCCCAAGTCGAAAACGTTTCCCAAGCACTCAAAACTTTAAACTCAGTGTTGCCGTTCGATACGAGTTCTTCGAGCYTTTTGTATATGGTCCCGGCCAAACTGCTGACGTGAGACTGAATGCAAAAAATAATTGAAATATTTTCATTACATTTCTATTAGTTTATTACCATTGCGCAAAGTCTATATTATAACCATTTGATAAAATATTAATTGCATACCTTGAAGTCTTCATATCCTTTTTCGCTACGGGGCATGCGTTCTAACAAATACGAAAAGCCGTTCATTGCCGAATACCACGGCGTAGTGTTGTTTTCATTCTTCAGATATTTGGACAAGTGCAATGGCACTGAATAGTTCAATTGGCCTGACCTCGCCAAATTGAACGCGTCGTCTATCAGCTGGGCTCGGTTGAGCACATGGATATCGGTAGGCGTGTCCTTCAACTGCTTGATCAACGCCATCCAGTTGTCGACTTCGTAGTTCACTCTGTAAAAGCCTGTTAGATAGACAGATCAGTCTGAGAACTATTTAGCTCTAAAAGCGTAACATAATTGACACTAACCGGTTGATTGTGGATTGAAAATATACCAATTTATATTTTTGGGGGCTGGAAAAACAGTCGACAGCGATTTTTTRTCCGTCCAAACGACCGATTTGTTATCATAATTAAAATTTTTGCTCACATCGGTGGTGTACGTGAGACCAATGTGCCATGCCGCCATTTCACTGGTGATTGCTTCGGTCTTATTCACATAAAATCGGCTCTATATACAAATCGAAAGATAAAAATAGTTATGAAAATCTTCCAAATATGAATACGGCGTAATGATATACACCGAGTATTTTTTTATTTTAAGTAAGTACGAGATTATTATTGCCATATTAAATGAATTTATTAATCTACGTATTCGAATAAATTGGAATATTATTTATCATATAACAATATAATATTATTATGATTTTTATTTGATTACTTGAATCACTAAAAATGTATTTGTAGTTGCATTTCTCGTAATATTCAGAACCGGATATCCCGATTGTAACGTCCAATTTGACATGAACTCGTTTACCGTCAAATCATTCCCAAAATCATAGTTGTTGTCAATTAACATATTGTCAAATGATGAATACAGATCTGAAGGTTCTGCTACATTATAACTATAATAATTTAATCAACTATTATTATTTTTTCAAATTATACAGACAGTRCTCAATATAAACAATATAATTTGATACAAAAGTTTTTGTTAACCTTYAAAGTRGGTGCTGAAGTTAACCGAGAGCAATTATTTACCTGAATTCTTGCAAATATGATTGAAGAGATTTTTTGAACAGATCTTCGGTAACCATGTATTTCAACATTCTCAGAACCGACGCCGCCTTGCTATACGTTATGATATCAAATATGTTATCAATCTCTTCTGGTGTGTTCACAGACGAGGTTATTGGATGTCTGGGAGTCTGATCGTATGCCAATGAACTCTGATAAGCTTCGACCACAAAAAGTTCTTCCATCGCCCAATTGGTCCTTACCTAAACCAACAATAGGTAGTAAAAAATGAAATTTGGATAATGATAACTATAATATTAATATTTACATATTATTAATAAATTGTACATTACCATGCCAGTGGCGAAATATTGGAAGTACCGAGCGAAACCCTCATTTAGCCATGTGTAATCCCACCATATGCAGGTTACCAGGTTGCCGAACCACTGATGCGTGAACTCATGTTGCACAACTTCTGATGACCGGATTTTCGTTTTCGTTTTTGAATCACTTGACAATAGCAGATAGGACTCCCTGCACAAAAACMAAATAATTTTTTTTTTTWAACTATTTTGACGAGAACAAGACGAACTTATTATCGYCTCAGTCTTCACCAGTTCATTTGTACTTTACCTGTAAGTGTTTATTCCCCAGTTTTCCATTGCTCCGGCACGGAAATCGGGTATCGCCAATAGATCCATTTTGGGAAGCATGTAGTTGATGGCCGTGTAGTCCTCCAGTACTTTGAGGTGTTTTGGTGCTTCGGTTGCTACATATTCAGTTTGATCCAGTACTTCTTTGTGTGTGTAAATTGTTATTTTTGAATTATTTTTGTTTGGTAAGAATTCACCAACATAAATAGCTACCAAGTAAGTGGACATCGGTGGGGTTTCACTGAAGTAAACCGTGGTATATTCTGAACTAAAATTCAAATTGTTATATATTTATTTTTAAATAAGACATTAATTCAATTCAAAAGTCTTTAGAGTTCATAAYATTTTTATTGGTTAAATAATAATAATATTACTTTTAAATATTTGAATTTAATCTTATCCAACAATGCAAAATGTTGTAAACATTTTTATATTTATRTATAATCATAGWAGTATTATAGTTTTTACTAAATCTCTAACCAAATAARTATTTATGTAAATATCACGTCATTATTCCTCAATTTATATTATTGTGGTTATATAAGAACATTTTAACTTTTAAGACTAACTAAATAACATGCATTCATATAAAAACTACAGGGTATTAATAGTAACCTAAATTATTCACGATTGTTGATATAATTCAGTTAATATTCGACGACACTTAATACTGCTTCATATGATTATATKTAATTCACCTGTGTATTATTTATTAGAATGCTTCGTAAATATAAAATATAGAGTACCTAAAAATTAATTTCACCAGTAACTCAATATGAATATTTTATCAATCAATTTGTTTGTACCTATATATATTTATATGCAATTAGTTGCTTGTTATAATATTTAATAATTACGTAAAATAATAATAAGCCACATAAAAAAATATGATCATCAAAATTTTTTATCAAAACCATTATGGTATTATAATTTATCACATGCATTGAATATTAGTTTGATTAATAACGTATTTTTTTTTTTTCTAGTTTTCTGTGCACTGTATATTAGTATTACTGAAACATTACATTTAAGGCTTTGACAAATGCATATAAAWTTTTTAATTTACCTATAATTTTAACTACAATTCTCTACTTTTAATAAAATAATTAAAAATACGACATTTATAAACTATTTGTTTGAACATTCATATTATATCATCACATAGAGATAAACATTATATAATTGGTTTTATTATGGAATACGCTTTATGTAAATCAACAAATTCACCTAAATATTTAATTTTAATCGACATTAATTGAAAATCGCATTGTTATATAAAGTTATAAGTACTCGATAGATATTTTTAATTTAATACAAACATGCATCAATCATAGTATACTTGAAAATCCAACCGATTTTAGAGCAAACCACACAAGTACCTCTTGCATTTCATTATTGTCTAAATATTACCTACCTATCTTGCAAATAAATAATGGTTAAGTGTCCCACATAATAATTATTGGTGTCACACCTTTGTGTTAAATCATTGAAACCATTCACTTTTGATAGATAATTATAACCGTGATGTCATAAAGAAGTACACGTATGTACTATAAAAATCATTTTCAAGAATGTTTTGAAAGTAATTTTTTCCAACTAAACTACTTCTGAAGATATCAAAAAAAAAATGTATTTTTGGATAGAAAAATGAGTTTTAAATTGTTGTGTTAAATAATTCGTTGATGATTGAAAATAATATATTAGTATTTCATGTTTTTCACGTATAAAATGTTAGTTAATTCTTTACATTTTTATGATMTATCAAATAAATTCGAAAAATAATTCAAATACATAAACACAATTAATAAGGTCATGATTTTTACAAGTTATTTCGAACACAACCAATTTTGATTTTTATTGTAATCCAAAACATAATATCATTGCATMTCAATATATACGTCCTGAATTAAAGGATAATATCTTAATTTCGTTTGTCATTTATAAATTTGTATACCATAATAYAAATACAAAATTCGATGTACAATTAAAATTTTCTTACCCTTCTTCAGTTCTTAGAATTGGCATATTGGATAATGCTGTCTGACCATTTTTCTTCACCACTGATATGTTGAACTTGGACTTATACTGAGGTTCGTCGTAGCACGGGAATGCCGTCCTCGCGGAACTCGCTTCGAATTGCGTCACGATCAACCACCTGTTGGCAGACAGACTCKGTGTAGTCGTAGTCRACAAAAAAAACTCCCCTTCAGAGTTCGTCATTATGTGACAAGTTACTCGCAAGCATTTCCCACAAAAATTAAATGTCTGCTATCATTTGAGCAAAGTAAATATAATAATAATTTTAAGTATAAAAATAACTATTACAACAACATTAGAAGGTGCTCACTTTGTCACTTCGTCCTCAACGTACGAACTCTTGTACAGACCAGTCATATCGTCCCTGATTTTCCCCGTATAATGAATGTCCAATTGAAAGTTTCTTTTTTTAGTCAAGGGTTTGTTAAAATGGATTTCAAATTGTTCATTTTTGGGCACATTGTTTATACTGCTATATGGCACTTCCCTGGTYGACTCAGAATTCGTGACGTCTGTAACCGACACGCTATTCACCGTTATATTTTTCAAGTTGAGCGTTATAGTGTCAGTTGTTGAGCCTGTCATAGTAACTATTATTTTGGCACGGCCCTCAAACGTCCAGTCACTCATGTTTGGAGCGAACCACAAATTGTACGACAAGGGAGTCGAAGTTTCTGGCAACCGGAACACGTCCATCTTCTCGTCATCGGAATCTTTTTGTCCACAGACCAGGGCGCACAGTAGAGCCACTGATAGGACCCCGACGAATGTATACATCATTTTCGTTCGACGATGATAACTATGATAATTTTTGGGTAAACAAGAAGTAATGATGACGGTAACAAATATTACACAGGGTAACTGCTGACACTAATCGGCCACGGCCTGAACTAATATGAACAGAAATTGTCGTCGCCAGCCAATGTTTCGTCGTCGTGTATAGTGGCCTCTTTTATCTTATCTCTTCGAGTGCGTCGCGATAGCGGCGTTTTAAGAGGACGTCGTACCAGAATGTGTAGTCTTCGCTTTACAAACAACAACATGGCAAATATGCGTTCAGCAGTTCCAATTATGTGTTGTTAGCTGAAAATTTGATATATGATCAAACTTAGAAGTAAAATTATGATTTGAGTTTTTTCGTTGAATTTTCAAGATCTTTAAGGTTTTCGTCAAGTTTTGAATCGATAATAAAATATTTAACTTGAACTATCATATAAAAAGCACATCAAAGAACATTGATAATGTTCTTACCATCAAGTTTTATAAAGCATAGAAGGTCAATTTCTTATGTTAAAGCTTACAATATTAAGTTGGAATTATAGCTAAACTTATATTTTGGTATGTCATTTTTTAGTTAAGTGGACAAACCACATACATCCTCTTATCAACGAATTTAATTTGGAACTAAGCGAACGCGTTGACAGTGTTCTTCATTCAAACCTCCCGTCTGTGTTTGCAGCTTTACTTGTAGGGGAAAGCGGAGTAATTCCGTACGAAAGTCAAAACTGTATGATAAAGTTTTCTCAAAATTAAGTCAATATATAAAAACAAATTATTGATGTTCTTTTTTCATGGCCATAATATATTAATACTTAATTAATTGTTATCAAATATGTGTTATCTTAATCGTTAACCTTGTTCGTATACATTTCCACTCAAATACTCACCATTACAAAATGAATTAAATTAGGTACTATTTTATTTTTCAAATATCAAACTATTTATTTATAGTGTATAAAGATAAACCAGGTTAATTGATTTAACATTATCATTGAACAATTATTCGAAATATTGAAGATATTTTAATCTGAGATTATCAATCAATTTTAATTGAATTCTATGTTGGTAAGAGACAAATCAATTTTGATAAAATATTGAATAATAATTGCGGTCTGTTTGATAATATTAAATCATTTTTTTAATTGTAATACATTTTTACGTACGTTTACTGATTTTAAGTTACCACAAGTTTTTCGTGCCTATAAAATTAAATAAACGAAAGAACTAAAGAAGTTAAAGTTTTGATACTCGTACACTATTTTCATTTTACTATATTTAAATTCATTTCACATTTTTGAGAATTTACCTTCACCTAATAATTTAAAACATTATATTGACACATGAAAAATTTACTAAGTATTTATTTCTAAAATGTTATATAATAGATTTCAAAAAACAATATAGAAATATTASTGTAAAAATAAGCAAAAAATTAAAAGGAATGAAACAAAATATATTATTAGATATGAATATAGATGTGAATATAGTATTCACAATAATTTCAGTAACAGCTATTTTGATCTCATATTTGGTTCTACATTATAGTTGGATCAAAAAATTGTTGTGTTGTCGGTAGGTTCTCTTAAGTTAGAACCTCTTTATATTTGCTAATTTGTATTATACTTAAAATTACAAAAAAATAGTTCTCAGCTTTGTCGTACGTGTTTCTCTGTAACTTTTACTCATAATCAAGTTAGCATGTATTTTGAACAGATGTTTGTTCTTAAAAACAGCATCACTTTGTCTTGCAAGTATATACTACTAAAACCCTACTTAATTATGAGCAAAGTATTTACAAATAAACGAATAATGTTATACTCCTTCGATTTTAATTTAAAATATCGTTTTAATGCAATGGATGGTGAATTGGGCACCTCATTAAGGATCATTTTCTAAAATGACATACGTATAATGAATAAACTCGAGTCTCTTATGTTCATATTATTTTTTAACTTCTTTAATTTTATAAAACACGAAACTATTCATCTTAAACGAGACATTTTACATCCTTGACTATTGTCGGTATGAAGTATTTTGATGATACTACATAGAATCGTTTAATGTTCATAAGACAAGCAAATTTAAACATTCCACGCTTTAAATCTACCGAGTATCATGTAGTTAAAACAGCTAAAATTGAATTTGCGAACATAGTATAATACAATGGTAAGTAGATAAAAGGATACCTACTAAGAAATATTTATACAGTTTCAAATGTAAATTACTAAACATTTTATAGTTACTATGATGGAACGCAACATTATCATAAATTAATAAATTGCAAWGTAATATGTACTTGTCTACTTAATATTAATGTGATCTCTAAAGCCTATTAATACGATACTATTACCGGGCATAACTTTATTAATTTAAAATGTTTAAGATTTATTATTATTTAAAATAATTATAAGTTTTTGTAAAATACCCATCACAATATAGGTATAGTATACCTACTACTTATTATATATCGTGTATTGCTGGAAAAAAATACATATTTAATAATTAACAATACACATATATACACAACATAATATTAGTATTATTTAGTCGTACAGTTGTATATATGAATATATATGTATGATTATTAGTTGATTACTATATTATTATTGATGGAAAAACATATGAAACACAAATCTATTTTAGTAGGTACTTCTGCAGATCGAAATATGTTCCATTTGAAAATTATGAAATTTTCTTTTCTAAAAACATCACAAATGTAAAAAAAGGTTATTCTAAAGGTTTTGTATTACACTTTGTATTGATATACCTACCATCCTATTTGTAAATTATTTATTTGATTGTTATCAACACAATATATCCATCGTCCGTTATCAATATTAATATTCAATCACGTTTTTCCGTCTTGGTTTTAATATATTTTTTCTAGAAATTGAACTTAACAGCATATTATATTATACTTATGAATTTAAAATATACTTAATACCTATATATGTTTAAAAAAATTTTTTGAGAATTTTGAACAATCCTCAAATAGCATTTATACGTGATTTAATATTGTAAACAGTATAACTGCTTTAAGTTCAAACAAAATAAAAAAATATTGATGGTGTAGTCAATGATTATTTAAATCACTTCATTCCATAAAATAATTGTTAACTGTAAAAACAAAAAATGTTATTTTCTTACTATTCTTAGTATTACGGTTCAACATCAAATAAGTAAGAAAACAAACATTTAATTTAAAAGAAAGCTTTTAATGAGATACAACTAAAATTAATATACATAACTTATTTAACTATATCATGTTTATACTCTACCATGCCTTATATTTTAAGCTTAAAATAAAATTAGTTTTTGTTTGTGTCAAGTTCTTTAATAACAATAAGTGTTTTCGCATTATAATATGTATTCTATTTATTTTTATCTAACGGTTTCGGCTAAAAAAAGAACAATTGAAATTTATGAAAATAATATTATTTATCCATTAAKAGATAAGTTGTAAACTGGAAATAGTAGAAAGACTAGAAACCAATACATTTAAAATCTATCTTAACAAACAATGTTTTAAGAGTTGTACTACAGTGTAGGTATATTTCATAGTTTCATACATAATAGAATAGAATAGAATAGATTATATATGCAGTATTCACTCGATAATTCGAAATTCAGGAGACCGAGTTAAAAATTCGATTTATAGAGGTTTTCGATTTACCGAGTATTCGGATTATAGAGAGAAAAAAAATTAATTCGAATTAAAGAAAGGTGGAAAATTGTACAATATACAATATATTATATATACATATATATTACGTTTATTTTGACATTTACTTATTATAAATATTATTATATTTTAAAATTATGAATTTATATGAATTTATTGTATAGTACGATCTGGTAAACATTTGTAAAAAAGTMCGGTCTCATCGGCATTAAAAATATCCCTATAGCATCATAATCAACCAATAGATTGATTAAATCATTTTTCCAAACTTATAAAATGCACGKGTCAACACTTGCACTCTCTCCGCATACTTTTTTGAAAGTCAAATGATGACGTTTTTTAAATTTTTCCAATCAACCCTCGCCAGTTTGAAAATTGGTGGTACCTAAGTTGGTACCTAGCAAACAACTTAGATTTTTCTTTTAAAATAGGTCGTAATATTGGAATATTATTTTTCCTACATTGAGTAAACCAAGCCATAATAGATTCTTCCAGATCGGTGTACTCACATTTTTCCTGTCTGATCCGCGATGAATAAAGTGTTAATGTTGTAAGATGGTCCTTTTGTTTTATTATTGTTGAAAGCGTAGAAACTGGGATACCAAAACATAGAGCAACATTTTTTTTCACCTGCTTCAACTGCCGTGATCACTTTTTTTTTTCGGCTATTGACAAACACTTGTACTTTACTTATATTGCGACTGACTACGTTTTATTCAATTTCATTAACGGTTTACCCATTGCAGAGGTTTATTTTGGTAAAATGATACAATTTAAGTTTAGATTAGGTAGGTAAGATCCGATAACATTTATAAACTACGATGATATTTAATTATCGTCGTTATTAGTTTCATTACGAGTACGTTAAATAAATTGTACATGATTTTTATACATATGAACTTACATATAATCTTGTTTAAGGAAATTCAAATTATAGAGGTTCGTGGAAAAAAAATTCGAATAGCAGAGTGTGCCTCACCGACAAACATTTCAAATTATCGAGGGGACCGGAATACATGTATTTTTTCTAATTATGGAGGTTTTCTCAGGGGACATAGTGTTTAGTTCGATTTATGGAGTATTTTGAATTATCGAGTGACTACTGTAATATTATGTATGATATAATTTCATATATAAAAATTATTTTAAAATTGAGTCTTCTAATAGTGAAAGAGTAGGTACATTTTATATAACAGCGCTAACTAAAACTATATATATAAGGTGATCCTTGAGGATATACCCATTAGCCGTAGAGGAGGATTCGCTTCCGCATAAAAATCAGTTTTTTGCCGTTTTATCCATAAAGTAAAAAAATCATTAAAAATCATAAGATTAATAAAAATAAAATGTTGAAAGGTCAACATTTTCAGGAAAATAAACTCAATAAAATAAGTAAGTATCTCTATTTTTTTCAAAAATTAAAAATAATTTTTTACCAA